AACTGAATGATAAATAGCGAGAGTGCAATATAGGCAATTTCAATGAAAGGTATTATCCTATAAACATGTTGAAATATAGTAGTGAATCCTGTGAAAAATGATGAAGCTGCAGATACAGATAGGGTAAACATGGTAAGCCATACTTTACCTATGAATGGGCTCTGTGCTTGACTGGAAAAATGTCAATATTATTCCTTTTACAAAGAAAAAGGGGTAAGAGTAAAAACGAGTAAGGGGATTAGTTTGCTAAATTTGCTGTTAAATTGTTATCAAAAGGTGCAAGGCTGACAATGAGCAAAATTTAAGAAGTGCTATGTGAATTTAAATGTGAAAGATGGTGTTCAAAATAGTTTTTTTCCCTCTCTTCTGAAGACTAATCTTCAACAAGTCACTGAGAAATGCATGAGTATGAGAAATGAAGTTCATTTTAATTGTGAATAGTCTAGTTTAATTCTTGTATGAATATGAAATGAAGGTTGATTGTTGAATGCAATAATAGTGATAAAATTGTCGTATGATGAAGCATTAACAAATGGTTTGACACTAACCAGGGAGGAAGGCAAAGATGTATAATGTTCCCTTTTTGGGCAATGTATTTATGGAATGATATACAAAAATGCTTATAATGACATTAGAACATTGTTGAATGTGAATGCATATGCACTATTGTGCAGGCAATATAATGTTGATTGAGAACCTCAATGATTTTCAGGAAATTTGAGTGACTCAATGAGGAGCATGGATCTAAAACTTAATAAATCAAAAATCATGGTTATGTCACAAAAAATTGAGTGAATGATTGGAATTTATACACAGAAGACAAAAAAGCTACTGTACTTAGATAATTTGAGTATCTTGATAAAGGTTTAGTAAAGATGGGAAATTTTGTAATATATTGTATAATGCTGATAAAAGGGAGAAGATAGTGCAAAGGTCTAAACCAAGAAATACATGTTTATTTTAAAGATCATGCTCTTTTGAAATGTTTCATTGTTACATGAAAAGTTGTAGCTAGGTATATCAAGAGAAGTATAAAATTCAGGAGGAACGGGTTACTCAAAGAGTTGTGTGTGGTTAACTAGGAAAAGTATGGTGAATATCTGAATGAATGCAGACTGAATGCAGAAGAGACTGACTTGTATGAAACAAGTAAACTGAGGTAATCTAGTTATAATAGTGAGCATTAACAAAGGCTGAATCACAAAACCAATGTAAAAAGAAAAGATAGAATTGGTTAAGAGGGTAAGAAAAAATAGGAATATAGTAGCTGAGTGGTGCTGATGATGTTTTCAGAAAAAAGAGGCAAGAAGTGGGGGGGGGGAAACAAAAGCTAAATTATATTAAATGGTGTATCACTGTGATGGAAGCAATTATGGTTTCAAAGATGAAAAGTTACAGAGAAGCAAAATGAACGTTGGTGTTGAACCTGTCACAACTTAAATCTCTAAACAGGAATAATCAGTGGTGAAATCTAAAATTTGTTACCGGTTCTGTGGGCATGGCTTGGTAGGGGGGATAATGTGACTGGGTGGGTGTGGCCATTTTTTTTTAATTTTAAAACCATTTTTTCTTCGGCGAAGAGGTTGTAAAAATGCTTTTAAATGCCTCTGATGATCCAAGCTGAGCCACGCGATCATCATTGGCTTTTTGTTTTTTCTTTTAAAAGCATTTTTTGGCCGAAGAGGTTGTAGAAAAAATGCTTTTAAAAGTAAAAAAAAAGCTTCTGACGATTGTGTGGCTCAGCTGGGCATGGGGGGGGGCAGGGATTTTTGCTACTGGTTCTCCAAACCACCCGCTTCCATCGCTACGGGATCAGGTGATCCGGTCCGAACCGGGAGCATTTCACCCCTGGAAATAATCCTTGGTTCCATTTGTTGAGAAAGGTATAATTTTATTAAACATCAAGTGCATTGCAGTATTGCATAGCCCAAACTGAGAACCGTGCACCAAAGTTTTACTTTTCTTTCCTTAACTGTCTCTCACTGCCACCCCAGTGTAGCCAATTAGGTTCAGGCAAGATGTTTTCATAACGGTCAGTCCAAGTGCAATTTGGTATGCAGTTCCCTTCTTCTTCCAACTGGGTGTGATGACCCAGGGCACGGCACAGAGATAACACAGGCAGTTTGCAGTTCAAACCATCCCTTAACTGCTCCAAATTTTCCCAAACACTCCCATATTTCTGGCACGTCCCAGAGCAAAGTGATGACCACACACACCTCAAGCAGCCTCTGTCTGCAAATAGTCCAGCCAAATGCTGTGAGCACCACGGCTGCAAAGCAAGAAATCCAGCAGGGCCAGTCGTGGAGTCCAGGGAGCAAAGAAGCATGGCAAGTAATGTAGAAATCCAGAAACAATGCAGGGAATCCAGGAAAGGTCAAATGTCAGCACTCAACACTGTGAATTCAGCATTTGTTCCCGACAAATGCTCCTCTCTACAGCGTCTCCTTAAGTCTCAGGCCCCAGGTGTGCTTTGTGAAGAGAGATGGGGTTCTCTCCTCCTGAGTATTTGGCTCAGTCTGCACTGTTCTTGCTTTCTCTCCACTCTCTGTGCTCGAGGATCAGGAGGGGGTGGTCTTTGCTCATCGCCTGAGCTCTGTCTCTCATGTTCACTGCTTAGCCTTTCCTGGTCATCCTGCCTCCCTTCCTGCCTCCCTACAAGCCATCCCAATCTTGGAAGCCTCTGGCCTGACTGGGCCTGTTCCACCCCATTTTCCTCCCAAGCCAACAAAGCCACCCCTTTGATCTTCGTTGGTTCCAGTTCCGACTCGTCTCCCTCCGCAGATTCAGGCTCCGACGGGGGCATGACACTGGGTAACCTTGAGAAGGCATCTTGAGGGGGCACAGAATTTACTTTCATTTCCCCAAACACTCCCCCTTCATTACCTCTCCTCATAGCTCGTGGCAGTCTGTCACCAGATAGCAGCAAAGCACAAGCAAGCATAAGGTGGCAGGTAACATTTGGTATAAACTAGATTTAGTTATATTTTCTTATTTATTTCATATGCTTAATTTCTTTGATTTACAATTTCTTCCATCATTTCTGCACTTTGTGCAATGCTACTTACCCTGAAAAAGAAAAGTATGGTGCCCATCTATATGTTTATACATATGTTTAGTTTTCATATGAATACAGCTATTGTTTTTCTCTTCTTACCACAGACAGCTAGCAATTACTATATGCTATACATTATATATTATTAATGTTGATAATATATACATTATTTATCTATCAAAATTCATTAAAACATGATTTTGTAAGTCCAAACAGATTGTAAGTAATTTCTCTTTTTTAAAAAAAAGTATCTTGTTAATTGTGATTCTGCTCATTTTAGTCATAAACCTGGAAGAAACAATAATTAACAAAGAAAACAGATATTGCAGTCTAGGAGATAATTTGATTCTGTAATACTGAGGAAAAACCTCCACACTACATTATTTTAGCAAGTGTTATAAATTCTCTCATTAATTTCTTATATTGACACCTATGAAATCTTAGAGACATAGCAAGTAAGAGTTGAGGAATATTAAGTGCTTTCAGATCTAGCTATGGTAAAATGGGATTACCAAAAAGAACTAAATCTGAAGGTTTGTGGGAGTTGATTTGTTTAAGCTTATTTCTAGAAATTCATCTTCTATCCCTAAAGTCATTGGGAGATTAGCAGCATATAAATTTTAAAAAGGAAGATTTTTATTGGCTGAAGAATTTAGTACATTGTAAAGTGTGGGAGACACAATTCTGAATTGCCAATCTTAGCCTTCTTCAGTCATTTGTGGGAAGGGGAAAATGCTCAAAATGTATAGATATGGACATAATCAGCACAGTTTTGCTCCCAGCTCTTTCCAGTCTTCACATGTTTAGACAAAATGGGGGGGGATCGTAGTTCATGTAGTCCTCAACTTACAACTATTTAGTAACTGTTCAAAATTACAATGGCACTGAAAATAGTGACTTATGATCATTTTTCACACTTATGACTGCTGAGCATCACCATGATCATGTGATCAAAATCCAGATACTTGGCAACTAGCATGAATTTATGATAGTTCCAGGGTCCCAAGAACATGTGATCATTTTTATGAACTTCTGACAAGCAAAGTCAATGGGGAAACCAGATTCACTTAACAGTGTTACTAATTTAACAATTGAAATGATTCAATTAGCAACTTTGGCAAGAAAGAAACTGTTGTAAAATGGGCAAAACTCACTTAACAATTATCTTGCTTAGCAACAGAAATTTTGGCTCATTTGTATTCATAAGTCAAGGACTACCTGTATTCATTTTTGTCACTCTGTATGATTCAAAAGTCAAATGACATCACTCTCTACAATTTCAGAAGAATGGCTGAATGGATTTTCGTATTACTCCAAATGGTATATTTCATCAGGATTGCATCTGAAATATAAGGTGTCTTTATCTCAAAAACATTTTTGGAATCAAGATGTCAACCCTGAAGCTGGCCCAACTGTGGCCATTTTCTTTTCTGTAGCTTTCCTCTAAGGAAGTTTGTCTTCACATTGCTTCAGGACTGACACAGCCTGGAGTTAAGGGGCCCGGGGGGGGGGGGGGGATGTAGAGATAACTTGGACGTTGAAGCCAAAATAAAATTCTTTCGCCTGGGAATCAAGGACATTCATGCAGGTGTTCCAAAGGTGGAGATTGGTGGAGATTGAAGTCACCTAGCAACTGGACCTTATGCTGATTGGACCATGTGACTGGTGACTCGGGAGAAGTGACAAACTTTCACTTTTAACTGGGTGTAAAACCGGCGGGAATTTGGAGCTGCTTTTCCACCAAACTTGTGCCAATAAAATGTTCTTTGAGGAGTATGCCTGCCTCGGAGTTCTCATTGTTGGGGATGTATTACTTGGAACCTTGACACAAGACATGTCACATAGCAACTATGGCCTTCTGGTGCTTTGTTCTGCCTTTTCTTCTACAGTGCATGCACAGATGTGAGGAGCTGTAACTTCATGGGCTTCATCCCCCAAGCTGGCGCTTGCAATGTGGCACCAGTCTACTACCATTTCCGTTGTGTGGTGCTTCCTGTGTCATGGCATCTTTGTGCAGTGGACAACCTACATGCCTGCTTGTGGGAGCTATATATTTCACCATCTACACTTCATCCTGCAACTCTGTTGAACAGTAAGGAATATAAATTAACACAAACAAACAAAAATTAAGTCAGAAATTGCTTTTCCTGTGCAAAATTGGAGAACTTGAACCACTTGGAGTGGTTTTACAAGTTAAGCATTTTACTAAATTAGAAAGCCCATAGGGCGACTCTGAATCAGTCCTTCTTTTTCATATGTCCTACTTCACAGGATTTGGCATATAATTATTTTAATCTGTTTAATCAACTTGAATGCCCAGAAAAAAGATAGAAACTTAATGTAGCAACAATGATAAAATTTCCATAATAATATTATTGATAATAATGTTACTTTCCTTTCCTCATTACAAATAGAAAACCAGATTGGTTTTATCTATTGAGCTGAGAAATTACAAATGCAAAAATTTTCTACTTTCTAGCCAGAAAAAAAATAAATAACAGTATTTGCTGTGAAAATGCTATTTTCCTTCTTCCCTGTCATCCTCTTTTCTATTTTCTATTTCTATTATGTCTTTTGGACTGTAAGCAGGAGAGCAGATACAGGTTAAGTACTGATCATTATAAGCCATTTTAAGAGAGTTTTTTTTTCCTTGAAGAAACGAACCCTTTATATAAAGTTTAAGCTGATACCTTGGGTCTTTTATGCACTAAAGTAGGAAGTGATACCTAGACATTTGTTAGATAGCATCCCAGAATGTCTATAACAAAACAAAAGTCATTAGAGTGCTGAAAAGTGGATGGTAGTGTAGTGCCTCGTAAATAAATATGGTAAGAGAAAAGAAAGTGAAGCATTTTTTCTGATCGCATTTTTTTCTTGTGATCTTTTATATAATCATAGATGCATGAGTTGAATCAGCTAACTATTGCTATCAGGTGTCAATTTATTCTGAGTGTTGAGAATGTTTGCATTTGTATTCTGTTGGTAGATAAGAAAATTATTGATTTAATTGGGATAATGATAGGGCATCTAGAAAAGGAGTATCTAAAGCAGGGGTGTCAAACTGGCGGCCCATGGGCTGGATGCATCATATGCAGGCCATGTCCACCCCAGCTCCACAAAGGCAAAAAATGTTGCAATATGTCACGATGCATCACAATGACACAATTGAGTTTGACACCCATGATCTAAAGGTTCTTTCAACATGGAATTGCAATTCTTGGGCATTTTTAGCATCATTAACACATTAATTTGAAAGATGTCTAGCTTTTGATCTGTCCTATACAGATGCTTTTCTTCTTTCACATTGAATAGTGATTCTAACTAAAGAAAAAGTAGTGTAGATACACAATTCCCTATAACCTACTTCCTTAATTTTCCTTTACTGCTTTATTTCAATTTTTCTCTTTACTAGTTATAGCAAGCCAAATGATTTTTAGTATTTAGGAACTTTGTCTGCTGCTGACACCATATATAATAGTCATTTTCAACCAGGGAGCTGAAGAAATTGTTTGATAAATAATGACTTATTAACTAGATCTGTGATGGCGAACCTATAGCATGCATGCCCGAAGTGGCATGTGGAGCCATGTCGCCTGGCATGCGCAGCATCATCCATTCCTCTTCCGGGTTTCTGGCGCAAAACAGAAGAACTGGTCTTCCGTTGTCTGGCATGGGCATGCATGCTGGCCAGCTGATCGGCGCATGTGCATGCATGACAGTAACTGGAGGACTTGCTTGCCAGTGCGAATACATGTCCCAGAAACCAGAAGTACCTTATCTGGCGCACGCATGCCCTATGGGCATCCCCTCTTCCTAGTTGCGGCCCTGACGAGTGCGTGTGCACAAAGTGCTCCCTTTTCGATACTCATTGTCAAAAAAGTTCGCCGTCACTGACCTAGGTCATATATAATGGCTGATATGTCAGGCCCAAGGAACCGAGAATGACATGGGAAATTACTTCAGAGTAGTTTCTTTATTGCTGCTTGCCTATAAACATAAATTGCCAGTCTAATTTAAATAAATTCAAATCTTTGGTCTGGGTCCATATGAAAGTTGTTTTGTTTGTTTAGAATTAGTTTAGCATTCTAAATCCAAAGGCAGAAACATAGATATATCAAAAGGAGGACACAATCCAATCCAATTCTACTCTTACACTCTTCCTATCCTGTACTGAAAATTCTGACAATGTAGATTTTGAATTTAATTGTGCCATCCCTCCTACGGACACACACACATCCTCCAGGTTTTGACTTCCTTGCCTATTTGAAGAGTTTCATCACTACTCTGGATTGTTTCAGCTGATAAACCCACAGATTCTGACCGGAAGTGATTGTGCTACAATAAGAATCACAGGGAAAATGTCAACTGTGTCATTATAATGAAGGTTATGCTTCCCTCCCTGAGAGAGAAACAAGTTGCTCTGGGCTCAGCACAATTCAAATGTTATTTTGATCTAGATGTTGACATGTGTTGCAACCATATAACAAGAGCTTCTGAATAAAGAATGAATCATAACGAGGAAGGCCAACTGTGGGAATTCTTTCTTAGCACAAGGCACTCTGGGAAGTCATGTGAAAGGCTGAGGTCACAACTGCATCGGACCACATTCATGTCAACAAATATAACTGCTGCAAAATTCTAAGTAACATTGTCCAAATGTTGCTGTTTCCATGCCATGAGTAGTACATGTGAATGAGCGGTGAAATATTAAAAGGAAAGTTTGTTTTTCTCTGTCAAAAAATGTTGCAAATGTTGGAAGAGGAGGCTACTCTAGGAAAGACAAGAAACAGCCCAATTTCAGTTTATATCAATATGTAGCTATACGAAGTACATAGTAAGAAGGGAAGATTGGCAAAAGTCTGTCTCATTGACAGAAAAATCATATCAGAGCTTACATTTCCTTGAAGAATGTGCCATTAAATATAATATTGGCATTTACTACTTCAATAATTTGCTGTCTTAAACGTTATCTTTAATAAATCAAAAGCACGGGAGTCACAATCTCCCACTCATAAACCCCACTCAATGACCATATCCTTTTAGTGCCTGAATTCTCAGTCAACTATATATCTGACATAGACCAAATGCATATACATATTTGCCTAGAATAGCAAGTATCCACAGGCAAAAATGTGGCTGTGGAACTTCCCTTCCAAGGAACCCTATTCCACTGGATTATATTTAATTTGTTAAAAGAAAGAAAAGTTGATATATTGCAAGTAGAGCACCTCTAAGTCTCACAAGCATTTACAGATGATTGCAACTCTGCTTTGTTTGGGAGTGCATTTATGAACAGAGATTTTACCTTATTCTGCAGATATATTTCATTTAAGTGCAATAATGTGGGAGAGGAAAGCAGAAAGAGTTGTAAATCCTGGAATGAATACAATTTTCCTCTTCCTTGTCTCTAATACAGTGATGGTGGACCTTTTTGAATGCTGAAAAGGGAGTGTGTGCGTGTTTGGGCCGCAACCCGGAAGAGGAGCTGCACATTGCGCATGTGTGTGCCTGAAAATGAACTTCCGTTTTCAGCTACTGAACTTCCGGTTTGAGCCAGCTACTCTTCTGGGTTTCTGGCATGCATACACACATGACGATCAGCTGGCTGGCGTGCATGCTCATGCAGGAAAATGGAAGACCAGCTCTTCTAGTTTCTGGCACTGCCTCATGCAAAAAGGTCAGCTGATTGTCACATGCGCATGCATGCCAGAAACCTGGAAAAGGAACAGGTGGCACCACATGTGCCAGGTGACATGGCTCCGTGTGCCACTTCGGTCACCTGTGCCACAGGTTCACCATCACGGCTTTAATAGATCGACATCTCAGGAACATTTGCAAGTCACACTCTCTCAGCCCAACCCACTTCATAGGATTGTTGTTGTGGGGAAAATAGGAGGAGGAAGGTGTGTTGGATATGTTTGCCATCTTTAGTTATTCGGAAAAATATTAGAGGTGGAATATAAGTAAACAAATAACATAAAAATAAGCATGAGTTTATCATACACATTCTGTTTTGGATTTATACAAATAGACTTTTTTTTAATCAATAACACAGCAATTAGGAATATTTCCCACAAGAATTTACATGGATAACTTCATTCATAAAAAAGGTAAGTTAGAATAACCTTGAAGAAACATTTAGAAAAAAAAAAAAACAGAACATTTAATAGAACAGTTAAAGATGACTTCATCACTTGTTGTTTTTTTACCTTAACTATGCCTCTTTCTCTAAAAGAAAAAAAGAAAATATAAAGAAAAGATGGCATTAAACTTTGAGAAAACATACATTTCTATTAATGAGACAAGACTCTGTTATTCATTTGTTTTCACTAATGTTGAGGATTAGATCTGGTTAGTACTTAAATGAGGGCCATGGGAAATATTAGGCTGACTATTTCTCTATATCGTGACAGAAAGAAATAGCAATTCATATCTATATTGCTGCCAGGAAAGCCACATGGACATGTTTGTGTATTAATAAGATGCTGAAATCAGATTGAATGAGTAACTAATGGGTGGTGATGTGTTTTTTGGCTAGGTTTAAGTTTGTTGAATAAAAGGGGAACTGAACCATTTACAATGTGAAGGTCCCAGGTTGTCAATTCCTGTACTAAATCTGGAAAGATCTGTAAATTCATTTGGGTGATAAAAGAGATGTTAAGGATGTGTAAGGTTTAGGATTGATTCATTTGGATGAAGGTGAAGCATTTCTTTGAAAATGCTTTGCAATTTTCACCTGTACTTTTAAAAGGGAAGCAACCATTTTCATTCACCTTGAAGCCTATTTCAATAGTTCCATGAGTGGGAAGATATATTTGTTTATGTATAGAAGTGTCTCCCAGTTACAGAAACTGAGAATAGTCTTTGAAGATGACATCAATAATCTCACTAAGAGAAATTGTGTCACCTTTGTTACATGAAGTCCTTTGCTGAAGAAGAAACAAGCTTTCTAACATCATTATGATGTTTGCTTGAGTTCAGGTTTGTTCCATGTGAATACCAAAGAGCATAAATTTAGCTAATTTAGAAAACAGAAGTTTAAAACAAGTAACCCTGGATCAAAAGCTGATTTTGCAATTATTCAGAAGTTTA